GTGAGCCTGGAGGGGGGGCTTGAGGCTTGCTGGGCCAGGAGATGTGAGATGGGAACCGTTGTCGGTATCCACTCTTGCCAGCCGTCCCCAGACTGAGCCGGGCAGATGCTCCTGGGGATTACACCACGTGCCTCCTTTAATGGACTTAATCTTGCTGTTTGCTTCACGCTCGTGTTGTGCCTTGTAAGCCCGGGAGAGGATTTGGGTGTTAGGGTGGGGGCTGTGACTGCCCCCGCAGCAGGTCTGGCGAGGAGGTAGGGGTCCTGCGCTGGGCGGTTTGTGCAGGCAGTGGGTTTCTAACATGGCAAAGATGAGTTGTTGTTTGGCCTGAACATCCTCTTTACTCCCCCCCAAAGCTCAGCGGCAGCACCCCCAGAGCGCACCGAGTCCTGGCTCTTGACCCGAGGCTCCCAGAGGACAAATACCTGTGAGTGCGCGGGGGCAGCCCTGAGCTGCTCTGTGTGCTGAGGAACCCCTGAAGCAAACCCTGGGCTGCACTGTGGGTCTGGGGTCTCCCCCACAGCCCAGAGCCAGCAGAAGGGCTCTCGGGGCTGGAGCAGGGCAGTGTTCCTCATAGGACTGGCTCACAGCGGGGCTGTGCCCCAGTGCCAGGCGCTCGGGTCCCCGGCTGTGACACTGCAGCCCCCGCTGGTAGCGAGGGGTGAAGGGACTGGGGGGGCTGCCAGCACTGACTCAGAGGACAAAGCCCTGTGGGCTCTGCCACTCGGGTCCCCAGCAGCAGGTCTGGGTGACACCTGAGCCACCCGTCTTCCCTCGCCCAGAGGATTTGCCTTTGCTCAGAGGAGTAGTAAAACGCTCTTGCCAAGGGTTAATCTCCCGGGGAGGACTAAAGTCCTTACCTGATGTGTAGCTTACCTCCCTCGGTCGCTGAGGGCTAGGGAACTGCTGCGGTGCAAGGAGCAAGAGACAGGCAAGACCAAAGGGCGCTGGCAGGGCTCTCTGTGGCCCTGAGTGATGTTTGTGGCTTCCCTGGCTTGGGGGGGTTTGGCTGGACCAGCCACCACATAACAGTAGGAGGGGATGAGGTTGGATGCTCTGTGAGCCCAGTGCTATCAGTGGCCAGGCTGCACATCTGGACTCAGCTGCCCCTCTGAGCCGGCCGGTGGGCGATTCCAGCCCAAATAGCTCCTCAGTGGCATCCACCTCTCTCCTCTGTCTGCTGCTAAGCTAATAAGGCCGTGTTGTGGGCTTGTCTCAGGGTAAGCTGGGAGAGCATCCAGGCAGGAGGCACTAATTGCCCCAGCAAGATCCAGGGATGAACAGGCAGATGCTGGGAGAGTGGGCTGGTGGCCATGGTGGCCCCAGACAGCTGGTTCCCTACGTGCAACCGGAGCTGTGCCAGGGAGCTCGACTGCCAAACATCAGCCCCTGAGATGAGACGCATCGACAGGGATGTCTGGCAGATCTAGGGTTCAAAAAGCCACACCAGCCCGGCAGTCACAGCCAGATCTTCTCCATGGGAAGCCTTGTGGTGTCCCAGTTGCTCATCTTGTGGATGCTGCCTCTCCTTGATGAGTGGTGAGGAGGGGAGTGAGAAGCCTCCGTCCCCTGAGGCTGCAGTGAGGAGCCGGAGGACTGCCTGACCTAAGCTGCATCTCTGTTTCTAGGGATGTGAGCCTGGGTTTGTTTTGTTGTTTTTTTCCTCCCTGACCCTGCTGTGTCACTGATCTGTTAGGTGACCTAGAAAAGAAAATGATCTCTCCTTCAAATGGAAAGACAAAGGAACAGCTTAAGGGCTCCTGCTGCCTGTATGGAGGGAGCACCGGGCAGATGGACGCTCTATAATGCAGCAAGGTGATGAGACTCGCTCTGCGCCAAAGCCCTTGCAGGCAGTGTCCAGGCTCGATGGCACATGGCACAACGCAGCGGTTGTGTTTGAAGCCCCACTGCTTTGAGTCACTGGTCCAGCTATCCCCATGGAGTGGTGGGGGATGCAGAGACCCCTTGGTGCCTCCAGGACACCAGGGGACAGAGCCACCCCACTGCCCTTCTGGCAGAGAAACTCCTCGAGACCAGCGCAAAACATCTCTGAGCTTTCTTCCGTGAAGCCAGCAAACGCCTGCCCGAGGGCACGGGTGCTGCATCTCTACAGGCTCAGTCCCATTTGCGGTGCACAAGCAGGGAAGCTGTGATGATGCTTTTCAAAAACCATCGGGTTTGACCTGTTCTGCAAACACAGGCTGGTTTTTCATGGTCTCTTTATAGAGAAGGACAAGCAGGGCATTAGCATGGGATGTGAGACCTGGTTGGGTTCCTTACTCTTGCCTGAGGCTTTCTGTCTGACCATGATGAAGTTACTTTAATTTTCTATCTTTAAAATGAAGATGGTATCTCATTGCCCTAAAGAGGGTAAGACAGTGCACTGGCGAGGGCTGCGCGCATATCAAAGAGCGCTCTTTATCTACATTTGGGGTGGGAGGGCTGCAAAAAGTAGGTTACTTACCCATCAGTCTGCCGAGATCTCTCCTGTCGCTACGCTGGCAGCCTCCCTCTTTTGAAGTGCTTTTTTCTCCCGAGTTGGGTCTCGCAGAAGGGAAAGCCCGCAGCTGCGTCTTCTCTTGAACCCCATGTACAAAGCCAGGGCTTGCTCTCATCCAAAGGACTGTCTGGCTTCGTGGCTAGGATTTATTTAAATTGCTGTGGAGTGCAACTTGGCTAGTTAGCAACAAAAATGTACTCTTAAAAGAATCGCATTAGCTTAAATTAATTTAAGCTCAGAATTTGCTCAGAGCACAGACAAGTCTTGCCATAGCTTGCAAATGAGATGCTCTCCCCTCTCCTATTTGTTATTTACACTGTAGCTGGTATGACAGCTACTGGGATTTCCCTCAGCCTGACAGGTGAGAGAGCTGTCATATCTATTCTTGGTGATGTGGCACACACTTTTTTTTTAAAACATGTAAACACTGATATGCCCTGAACCCTTTCCAACTTGGACTTGGTCTTTAGGGCTTTGGAGCAGGGCTAGAGGAAGCCGGTTTCAGCTCCAGCAGCACAACTCCTACACCCTTTAACTCTGAGGTTCTCCTGGGTGCCATCAGATCCCATAATGCCGTGTCTGGCTGCAGAGGGTGTCCCCCTTTTTCCCCCAGTACTACTGGGGGTCACGGCCAAAGCCGGGGAAGGGCCGACACCACTGAATTTCCCCCTGGATGGCTCGTGGCTGTTGGGTGTCAGCCCAGGCTCTGCCCGCAGCAGGGGGACAGGTTGGGAAGATGTAGTGTCATGGGATGGGCTTACACCAGGTAGGCACCTGGCAGATAACACTTCTACTGCCGGCGCTGGGGATTAGCGGCTTTCAGGACATGTCTCTGTGGTTTAATTTCGTAAGTGGTAAGGAAAGAGGGAATCTGTCATGTAAGTGCAAAGATACACACAACACAGGAGGTTGCTTCTGATTGTAAGATGAGTCTGTTTAGGAATCACCAGTATGGTTCTCAGTCTGCCCACAGTCAGGTTAAACAGTTAACGAGAGTCAGTGCTGGGAGCACCAGGGCAAACAGGCTCTGCCTCTTGTTGGAGACTTTCTGGAGTTACTGTGCTGGGAACAGAACAATAGACACATGATTGTTGTGCTAAGGCACCCGCAAGGAGCAGCCAATGCATCATGCTGGGCAGGAGGCCATAGACCAAAGTTTATAAAGCTTTATTAAACGTTTTGAACAGCTGTGCAATGAACAAACAATAATCTGGAAGTTTCACAACCTCATAGCTTGAACTTCCTCGGGACAGCAACAGCCACTTCTGCTGCTCTCCACTGCCAGACTGAAGTAAAGACAAACAGATGGCAAAGGGGAGGGAACCCTTTAAAGTTTAGAGACATTATTTTGTGTTAACCTTGAAGGTTTCTCACAAACAAACCTCTGCCCCAGGTCAGGCTCCCCGAGAGCTATGGCTGCACAGAGTAACATATGCAGTGTAGAGCTCTGCGCAGCTGTGGCATGTAGGACTGGCCCACCACCACCACGGCTTCTTGACATCCTTCTGCCAGGGGAGACGGAGACACCAGGTGCTCCTCTAGCTTCTTCCTTTCTCCAGTCAGTAGCACCAGCACCCTCTGTCACCCCTGGCCTGAAATACCATCACTGAAAATGGCTGAAGCATTTACTGCTTCATGCTATGCTTCCACCTCAGGATCCCCTCCTGCCCTGCCCATATGTGGCCTTTTTGGGCTAGCATGAGTTTTACAGGGTGAGGTTCACAGTGGCTTTCAAAACCCCACATCTTGCAGCATATCGGTTCTTTATCCCAACAGTCAATACCTTGGTAAACCCTGGAAATCTAGGAGGGGAAGAGACAGTCTCCGCTACCTGTGAGGCTTTATAAAAGCAGCAGCATAACTGAGGCTTTCAGGCTATGATCTCGGAGCACAAGTAGTTCAGAAAGCACTTCGGCAGTGCACACATCTCTTTGGCAGGCTGAGCAGGAGGAGATGACTCAACTGCCTCTGGCTCCAGCAGCTTTTGGCCAAGTGCATCTGTGAGCTGTCGAGCTTGCCCTTGATCAGCAAGGTGGGAAGGCTGGCTCCCCACAAAGACAAAGATGGAGAGAATCCTGTAGCTACTCGAGCAGGATCAGTGGGCCAAGAGCCCTGAGTTAGACCACCGTGGCCTAATGCAGACAAGTGAGCGACACACAACTCCACCACTGCGCAACGGCTGGGCCTCCAGCAGCTCGGTCCTCCACCAGTTCTCAGTTAGGAGGGCTGGTGTCTGCTCCCGGTGATACGGGAAGGAAAAAAAAAAAAAAAAGATTTCTGCTTCTAAAAAAGCAGGTGGCGCTGCCAGAGTTCACACAGTAAACAAGTCGAGTTTCACAGGCAGAGTGGGAGGAACTTACCACTCCAGTCCACACACAGTTACAGGAAACAGGCTGTTTTTACTCCAGTCGCATGCCTAACACCCCCTCCCTCCTCCCTAGCCCACCCCCTTTTTAAAAGCAAAACAAGAGCCCTCAGTAGACTGGAAGATTATGGTTTTCTAGGTGCCCACTACGCTGGGATCGTGAGCCGATTCTGGCAACTGGGATCCTGTGCAGTGATACAAGAAGCAGTTCCCCCAGCAGCTGTAGCAGATGAGGAATAGAGCTGCCAGGAAGACCAAGGCACAAATTGTGCAAGGTTTCCGTTCCAGGAGGAAACTGAGCAGGTAGAAGCCCATGAACATCGAGTGACTGAACCACAACGCTGGGTTGAGGGGCTTGGGTATGAGCAGGACAGGTAGCAACCACTGAAGGCAGTACATTGTGGCTGGCTGGCTGGGGCCTTGAGGCAGCAGCAATCAGACGGGCTCTAGAAACGTCTCCAGCAACTCCTCCGGTGGGCAGGCTGTTCTGTAGAGAGGGGTAAAATGTCAGACTGTCAGAGCAACACAGCAAAAAACCCCCACAATAGACGTTCTTCTCATACAGCTTCATTTACTCTCAAGCATCGTATACTGATGCTCGAACTCCCAGTACTGAATTCTGGTTTGTTTCTGAACCACTCAGCTGGAGACATGATTATCTATTGCTGGTGTAAAAGTGTATCCCTTGTGTGCTCAGTTTCTCAGGCTTTTACCCTGGCTAACAGTTGTGAGACCCTTTAGCACAGAGCAGGAACAGAAAGGCAGAGGAGAAAACAAAGGAAAACAAGCTGCTACAGCCTTCCCTACATGCGCATTTATCCAAGACTGTCCAAAGACTTGAGTGATGGTATCAAGAAATGCAACTGAGAGGCAAACTCTTAGGTGGCACAAAGCAGTGTTGAGGAAGTATAAATGTAAGAAGCATCTAGAAGTGTTAAGCACGCAAACCCATTATAAAGTATTCCAGCAGGACAGCATAAAATTCAAGCTATCCATGTAGCTACCCAAGAAAGTTCCAACAGTGTCCAGGCTGCAAAACAAAGGGGAGGACAGGCGCTGCTTAAGGGATTTATAATCCTTGCCAATCAGCTAAAGTCAGATAAGACAAAGTATGTGAATAGATCAAAGAGGGAACAGTCTCAAAATGGCAATTTTCATAAGTGCTGTAAACACAGGATTTCCTCACTTGGATTATTATAAAACCCTGTGGAAACAATGAGCTTTGAGGCTTCTCTAACTGGGGATGGCAGCACACTACAAGTCCAGAAAACATGCTTCTACCATTAGCAGCCACATCAACTACACTAAGCATGGGGGGTTTTTTCTTTCTAAGCAGTTCAAACGTTTTAATCCAAGAATTTCAACTGGCTTTAAAAATAATAAATGCCTTACAGGTGTTTTTACAGAGCCAGAACTGTTGAAAGGGGGCAGAAGACTGGAGTTTAGCAGTCTAGGATTGTAATAACATGTCAGGCTAGGAGATGTCAATACTGTTGGGAGGGAATAACTGAAGTTTTTCTTCAGTTCGTGCAGTAGGGAAACCATGAGAAGAAGGTACTCCTAGCTTATTACCCGCAAAAGGCAAAACCAGGCAGGGGAATGCTGGAAAGGGGAAGAGCTTGGAAGTGTGCTCTTCCCTGCTATCCTCTAGCATGTCACGATGTCATGCAGCAACACTGAAAGAAGCAGCTGCCAGCCAGGGCACAGACAGACGGGGGAGAATGGCCCCAGCCTTGCAGAATGCCACAGTCTCACCCCCACTTAGCAGACCCTCATCAGAACAGCTTCTTGCAGCAATCCTTTTATCTGAAAATACTCGACTGAGTAGCGCTCTGTCAGAAGGATGAAGGGTTGAGCCGAGCCTGTCAGGATTACAACTGGGGGGTGGGAAGGTTAGTAGGATGAAGGAGTGAGAAGGTAAACAAACAGCACATTCCACTGGCTCCTGTTGGCAGGAGAAGGGATTTCCTGGCAAAGGAAAGGAATATGAGGGATCGCACAGAAAAGCCAAGAGAAAACCACACATGGTTCTCTTCCAAAAAAACACTGAGGTCAGACTTGTCTTACAGGTCTGTAAGCTTGTAGGTACCAACCGGCTCTGTTGTCAGAAGCAGGAAGCACGCTGCCATCCACTGTGTTCTTAGCAGCAGGATCTATTTTAATATTAGTGAGAGAGAATGCAGGCCAAAATCTCCACCAGGGCAAACAGATTAAGAGTATTTGGGGAAAGTATGTTGTGCTGGCACTCCTGCAAGAGAGTGTTCTCCAGCAGAGAGAGGGCAGCTGGGGTTCAATTAGTAAAACTAAGCTGCAGTAAGGAAGCCAAAGAATAAGGAAGAAGTTATTTTATGTTGCTCAGTTTTACCTCTCAGCTTTAATAAGGCCACGTATTGCTCTTGAGCCTTTAGCCCCCAGACTTTACAACTGACTACAGTTTAAGAGTATAATTATAACCTGTGACATAGCTGCATTTAACTCCAGTCTGGCCCCCTCACCATGGCAAAGACTTAGGTAATAATGGTCTAAACAGTGAGTTGATTCTAAGTGTGTAAGCATTACCTAAACACTTCCTACAAACACAGACCCATCTCAGAACAAGTTACCCATTTTAAAATATTGATATTTCCTGGAAGAGCCAGTTGCTTGCAGCAATCAATGCAACCCCTCTGCAGAATAAAAAATCATTTAATAGCGGTTATTTTTACTATGAAGTTTCAATGTCAATGCTCTTCAATCTGCAGACCTCTTGAACTTCTATTAGCACACAGACATTTAAACAGCTATTTTTGTATCTGTAGTCAGTTTGCTTGTATTTTCATGTGCCCCTTTGCTATCCACCAGTTAAAGGTTGAAAACCCTTTGTCTGCTACATGCCACAGCAGATAAGGTACCTACTACTTGAGACTTCTGCAGCTCTGTCTTCCTCAACGGACTTTCTGCTAGTAAGATATATACTCCTCTTCCTAGCTCTTCACTGGAGATTCCTTTATACAGCTGTCAATGAGACTGTGTTCTTTTTCTGCGCTATCAATCAAAGAGAAACAGCACCTCCTACTATCAACTCTTTACTGAGCAGGGAACTATCACTTTCCTTGGTGCCCAGGAGAGGCAGTCCCTTCCTGAAGCCGTAACAATACTGAGTTTTGCCTACATTCTCAAGCAAGGTGAAACTTGCAAATGAAAAATTCCTACCTTGTTGTCTTTGTCCCCTCCTCATGATCCAAACTAAAGATTACCATGTCCCAGAGCAAATAAGAACCTGTCACCCAGTAGTACTTCTACCAGCTCCCTGTTTCACAACCGCATCCTGCTTTTCCTCAACCAGTTGCTCTTGTTCTTCCCTGTTTGACTCATCTCTTTCCTTAGCCAGCCTGGTGTCCTGCTATCCTCAAGACTGCTCTCAAGTTCCTGCTCAAGTCATCTGACTTGGCGGCCACTCATGTTTACCAGATGGCTCCTTTTCATCACACCACCACTGCCTCCTCTCACTCCTCTGCAGCTCTCAGAGCCACTTGAACTTGCTTCAGGCCCCTCAGCAGCAGAGAGCAGGCAATGCTCCCGCTGCTCTCCCCACAGTCAGCGCTCGGCGGCTCCATCTGATCTCCATGTGCCGCCAGAGCCTCCTCCCTGCCAGTTCCTGCAGGCAGAGGAGCAGCCTGAAGAGGTTCCCTGTGCACCTCATTAGTAAGCAAACACCAATACTTTTGCACATGCTTATTAATCATCTTTCATCATGTTCACAGCCCCTCCTTCTGTCATCTTCCCTCCTAAGACCATTCAAAACCAGCAGGTCCTACTGGCACATGTTTGTGGGGAAGATTTTCAAACTCCGGTGTGAGGGTAGCAGCACACCTTTCCCAGCCAGAAACAAAACTTTAATTACGACAAGTCAAAAGCGCAAGCCCGTAGGGCTTTGCAATCAATCGGTCACGTTTTAGAATAAATCCATCTGAGGAGCTAGCAAGCTGTTCCTTGATATTCTACAAGCTAATTCAGCAATTAAGAGGTTGAGAGGTGTTCCTACACCATACGTTTTATACACCAGTATGCCAACACCAAGTCTGTACCTTTCTCAAGAATGTCTTAATTCCCTAATGGTCCGTTTACCCTGACAGGGGCGAATAATCAGCTGGCTTTCACTAAGCACTTAAATGGTAAGCTTATTCAGTCCTTACTAAGCCAGTACTGTCCGCAAGGAACTTCCCCAGCAGATGCTAGAGAAACAGTCACCCAGGCTGGCAGCCGAAAGCTCTGCAATAAAAGACTAAGTAACCTTTTTATTGGGGGTGGTGGTGCTGATCTCTGCCTTTCCCAGAAGCACAAGTTTCTGCTTGGGAATGAAAAGTGACATGGTCTAGATAAAAATCTCTCAAGTTACACAGTGCACATAAACTTAGAGTAAGCTTCAGGGACTCGTACTAAGTTTCTTGCCTGTAAGGCTCACCTGTAGTACAGTTTGCTTAAAATTGTTTAAATCAAAAGCCCTGTCACAGCCACGTAAGTTGAACTGATATGTGTGGGCAGTGCTTCATGCTGCCAGCATGTGTTCAAAACCAACTCTCAAATACCACACGGCACCCAAAACAGCTGCTAAAATATACACGATATCCAAAGCACTGGGGGGAAAAAAAAAAAAAAAAAGGTGAAAGAGCTAATGAGTGATGAGTTTGAGGAGTTCAGCTAAGAAAAGCAACAGCAGACCAGCTTTCTAGATGCCAACCCCCTCTTAAAAAATCCAAGAACCATAACTGTTCAAACTTTAAAACCTATTTGCAGTATCAAGGATTTAACTTCTTCAGGGTTTTTTTTTGGCCTTGCCGCTATTGTTTCTATTTTTTAAAGCTTTATCTGCCAGTATGACTCAGCTGGAAAAAGTGAGTCTTTAATTTTTGGCAAAGGCCTTACCCTAGTCTTTGATAAGTTCATGCCTTGAACACTTGATGTGGACTCAGAAATGGTGCAATATAATTGCAAACAGTTTCCAAACAAGCAGCAAATCCTTGACTGACCAAGCTTCAGGGTTATGAAGTGTTCTGATTTCTCAAGCAAGAGACACACCAAAGCAACTCGCTTCATGAAAAGCGGAGGCTCTCTGTTGAGCCACTCTTTTCACCACTTCCATAGCTGCTCTGTGAGCTTTGTTACTGACTGGAGGATTGATTAGCCTGTATCCAGAGGCAGTGCAGTGCCCGCTCCATTTCAACTGCAGTGCGCTCGCAGCACCAGGGTGAACAAACCTCCACCTGTAAGCAGGAAGGCAGCACTATGATCCGTGTTTCTCTGCACATTAAATCACAGGAGCAGAACCTTAAGTCTAGTGGGAAGAGATATCAACATTGACAGTTGTCATCTGAAGTATTGCTATTTTCACTTGTACTAATTTATTAATTCTCACTGGT